CTAACAAAGAAAATTAAGAAAGAAACAGGCAAACACACACAAACAGATTCTCACTCTCACACAACTAAAGTAGAATAGATTACATACCATCATTAACGGAATATCTATATAGCTGACCATATACCTTTATCATCATTATCATATATTATCATCATTATTATAGTATAACCAAAATCTAAATCTCAAAGAGCCAGAGAGGAAGCATCGTCCAACATTATTCTTTGGGCGGCGGAAATCCCAGCAGGATATGGCTTGTCTCTTCTATACGTACCATGGCCATTTTTTAATTCAGGTTGCATTTATCTATCTACAGATATATCTAGCAGTCTGTCTATTCATCTGTTTACCTACCCACTTATTTATATATTTATTATCTCTCTGTCTATCGAAGAGCAAGAATACACAAATCGACGAGAAATAAAAAACATCGTATCTGACCCCCCCCTCTTAAAGAAAGAAAGAAAAGAAAACAAAAACAACTTCGACTGCCTTCCACTGAGCCTCAATCAATTAACCAGTTTTAACCAATCTAACTAATATCCACCAGTTTGGGCTGAACCTTATCACAGTTCCTACCAATTTTTACTTAACCTTAACCACTTTTGACTGAACATTAACAACTTTGACCACTTTTCTACCAGTTTTGACTGACCCTTAACCAATGCCCTACCAAATTTGACTAAACATTAAACCATTCTAACCGATTCCTACCAATTTTACCTGAACATCAGCCAGTTCCTACGAATTTTTACTGAGCCTTCAGCAATCCCTACCAATTTTGACAGCACATTAACAATTTTAACCAATTTTCTACCAGTTTTGACTGACCCTTAACCAATATCCTACCAAGTTTGTCTGAACATTAACCAGTTTTAACCAATTTAACCAAGTATCTACCGCTTTTGACTGAATATTAACCCAATTTGACTGTACATTAACAATTTTAACCAATTTTCTACCAGTTTTGACTGACCCTTTAACCAATATCCTACCAAATTTGACTAAACTTTAACTAAACCAATTTTCAACCCCAGTTTCCACGGAGCCAAAGTGGGCGTGACGGCCTTGCCCTTCCGCCCCTACTGGATCGAGGAGGAGACGAAGGCCCCCGACGGTGCCCTCCAGAAGACCTACTCTGGCTCCGACGGCCTCCTCCTGACGACCATCGCGGGGGCGCTCAACTTCTCCTTCGCCGTCCTTCCCGTCGCAGGGTGGGGCGAGGTGAGGCGTCGAGGAGGGGGGGACGGGGGGGGTTGGTTGGGAGGGGGGCGAGGTGAGGCGTTGAGGGGGAGGGGGGCGTGGTGGGTTGGTTGGGGAGGGGGGCGAGGTGAGGCGTCGAGGGGGGGGGGGGCGGGGGGCTTGGGGGGTAGTGGCTGTTGTCTCGTGGTTCACGATGAGTTGAATATAGGATTGCATTTGTGTGTGTGTGTGTGTATTTGCATACACACATTTATATGTGTTTGTGTGTGTCTTATTATCATTATTATTATTACCTCCGCCAAGAAGGTTACGTTTTCGTCGTGATGATTAATTTAGTTTGTTCGTTCATTGGTTAGCAGGATATCTCAAGAAGTTATGAACAAGCAGTTACCGGAGGTGTCTTCCCCTTACATAGATTGCACTAAATTTTGGTTGTGATCCGAATCATGATCCAGAACCAGGATTTTTTTGCATGATTACATCAGTTACGCCTATTGTTTTGGCAATAAGGGTAACTATTATTATATCATTGCATGATCACCACCCTAAGGAGGTTATGTTTACGGACGTCACCATTGTACATGAGAAAGAGGTGCTTTTAATGTAATTCTTCGTGTGAATATCTTCCTTGTATCAATGACTCCATTACCTTGGCGGAGGTATGCGCTCTCTGAGTGCTACTAGTTGTTATAATTATTATTGCTGTGACTGTTATCACTACTGTGATTATCATTATCACAATCATAATCATTACCATCATTACACAATCATTACCATAATTGCATAATCGTTACCATCATTCCACAATCATTACCATCATTGCACAATCATTACCATCATTATGTAATCATCACCATTATTACGTTTTCATTATTACACCTATCACTATTCTCATAATCACAGTTACCACTAATACCATCCTCAAAACACCTTTCCTGACACTGACATTTTTCCAGGTGACGTCCTTAGTAATGGAGAGGAAGTCCATGATGGCGGCGATCTACCACATCCTTCTACCGCAGCGACAAGAGCGTTACGATTTTACCTTCACGTACGAGCAGATCAAGACGGATTTCTGCATGGCCACGCCCTCGCTCGGGTCCAACTGGCAGAGTCTTTACTACCCGCTGTCCCATGGGGTGTGGGCGTCGGTGCTGGCCATGTTGGTTGTCTTCTCCTTCGTGTTGTATGTGGTATGTTTTTTTTTTTTTTTTTTTTTTTTTGGGGGGGGATGTTGATTGCTGTTTTTATTTTATTATTTTTTCTTCTCTTCTCTGTCTGTCTGTCTCTCTCTCTCTTG